AATGCTGCTTCTTTAAAAAGTTGCAATAGTCAAATTTTAATTCTGCAACGTTTCATTTCATCTCTAGAGGAAATTGGGGGTCAGAGGTGTAACCTGTTTGTTGTGACTTTTTGGTTTGAAACTAACTGGGATTCCAATATGAAATCATTACGAAGTGCTCCTGGAGAGTTGGTGGTATCATTTCTAGAGGGGCAGCCATATTAGTCTACTTCATCAGATATACAAAGTATCCTGAGTTACAAGTGTATATATTGTAGCATGCCGCTCCAATCTCCAAGCAGTGTGAGATTCCAGGGGTTCCATGCACTTATCTAGTGCACATGCTTCCTTTTGGAAAGGAGGCACAGCACAGACTGTGGTATCTTTATGATATATGGTTTATTTACAAATATATACAACCTGATCCTACAATGGAGGAGTGCTCAACGTTAACACTCCAAGAGAGTCTTGCTTCCTCCATAGGCTCAACCCTGTATCTAAACAGACATCAGCCAATACTCTGCCTCCTGCTTTCTGCTAGACACTTATTCCTCCCTTTCATTATTTCAATAACCTCTAGCTTTATCAGTAGAGTGAAAGGGGCCCCACCCTTTGCAATCTCACACAGAGTCCCTTTGATCCTCTGTTGTGTTCTTAATGGCCATCATTAAGGGCCATTAGGAGAGATATTCCATAACACACCCCTCAATTTCACCAGACCCAAATCAGGTGGAGAAGTGGGGGGAGGCCATTTTGACTCAGTTGTTTTGCAGCATACACAGTGGCCTTGAAGAATCAAGTTCACTCTGCAAGACTGTATCAAAACTATGGCCCTGATGGCAAAAAAAGCCTGGATTCTGGGACCCTTTGTTTAATACTCCACCTGAGCATCCTGGACTCTGTTTCAGCAATAGCTGCTTGATAGAACGGCAGTGAATAGTGTGAATAAAAGGCAAATTCCCACCAGCTACTTGTGCACAAGCAAAAGAAGGAAGTAAAAGTGACTATGCCAGCCTTCCCCAACCTGATGTCCTCCAGACATTTTAGACTACAGCACCTACCATCCCATATCATTAGCTATGGGGGAAAAGATAGTATGGAAATAGTTTCTCGAAGCCAGACATTTTGAAAAACGCTAGGGTACATGATCCACTAAGATACTTCTGTGTTGCAGTGCAATGTAATTCATTCCAGTCTATTCCTGCGGAACAGAGATGCTGTCTTCCTGACCTAGGACTCTATATGGTCAAACCAAAACAAGCACACATTTAAATCGTCTCTGATCACAATTTTCCAACAAGCCTGATTAGTGCAGAAAGATTCTTCCCTAAATGCACCCTCAGTTCTCTGTCTCTCTCTTTCCACATCATGCACCAGCAATTTATCTAAAACAGCAGAGCACCTTCCAGGATTTGGAACAAGTTCAGAGGAAACGAAGCTTATCTGTGGTTTTCATGGCCCCTTCTTTAGCCTGGCTCCCATCCCACCCTTTTGATGGTATCATCTGCTCTCTTAGAAGTTCCTCTTCTCCAGCAGCCTCAGTCCGGGTGGTCACATCTTCTAACACTTCCTATGCTAAATGCCTGTACATCGGCCCCAAACTTGTCTCCTTGCTTTCAATCTCTTCTTTCAAAGTCTTCTTTCTTAAAAAGCTGTGTCTGTAGTTAATATTATTGCAAGAATAATTACATCTGATTCTCTTGGGGGGGAATGCAAAGGGGGGGGGGGAGAACCTGTAGCATGAAATTATTTCATTCCGAATAAACATTACCACAAGATTTTGCTGACTGTATAAACTGGCCCCTAGCATGGGCGTAGCCAGGAATTTTGTTGGGGAGGGCAGGCCTTTTGTTGGGGGGGCAGAACCTCAGTTTGCTATGTATTTTTTATGAATTTAGGGGGGCAGCTGGCCCTCCCTGCTCCTCCCTTGGTTACGCCCATGGCCCCTAGTAATGCTAGTATTGGATGCGTAGACAAAACTCAGGACCTGTACAGAGGCATATGAAGCACATTAATATTATTTTTAAAATACTGGAGAATAACTATCAATAGGTCGGTCACTGGTTGGTATCCGTCTGTCTCGGGAGACAATGGGGGAGTGAGCCTTTGAGGGTTAAGTCAAACTGTTGGAAGGTTGCAGAGCCTGCTGTGGCTGTAGAGACCAATATGGGAGGGACATGTTTTGTTGCAGCTGGGGCAGGTGAAGGCATCCGGTTGTGCCCCCCGGATACCAGGGTATTTCTTCTCTCTGTGCTCCTCCCAGCAGTCATTCCTCATCTGGTCACTGCTACAGATGCACAACCTGACTGTCTGTCTCCACATGGCGGAGTTGATGTTGCCAGCCTTCATATCACATTTGCAGACATCTTTGGAGCACAGAGTTGGTCTGCCAGTCACCCTGGTGCCTGAAGCCAGCTCTCCATAGAGCATGTCCTTGGGAAACCTATCATCTTCCACTCTGTGGACATGACCAAGCTAGCAGAGACACCACTGAGACAGGAAAGGGAGATGGGAGCTGTGTCCCCTTCTTTCTCATACCACATAAAACGAAGCCCTCAGGGCTATTTGAGTTGTGCAGTCCTGGTTTTCATTTCCATTCATACTGCAGTCAAAATGGTTCAGCATCTTGTGGCAAATCTCTTCACATATCCAAGGCTTCAGAAGCTTCACATGTTTTATAGTTCTTTATTTTATATTGGAATCACATGCATATTTTCCCTAATGTTTCTTTGAGCTTGTGAAGGAGGTAAAAGCTAAACAATAAAATTGGGCCACCTCTGCTTTTTCCTGAAATCCTGTCAGGCACTCAAGCTGGAGTGTTGACCAAGTAAAGCACTAGGGACAACTGGCAGACAGGTAGCCAGCCTGGAAATGCAGAAGGGGAGTCTAGGGGCTTCCTTCAGTGACAGCCTGTCAAGACAATTGAGAAAGTGCAGGAGACCTTGGAGTTATAAAGAAGGCACTTGCATGGGACAGGCTCTATGGGATCACTAGTTCCTAAGAAGCAGAAAAGTTATGCAAATCCCCACTCCAAACCACAACCCCAGTGGTGAAGGGATTCAGTGTGTGACCCACAAGCATTTGGCTCTGAGCCCCAAAGAGATCAACTTTGGGTTGTGTTTTTTGTTTTGTTTTTGTATTTGTATTTAGTTTTTATTCATTTTCTGTACATAGTACAAACAAAATAATACCCATCCCACTCTCCAAATATAACAGCACCGAAACCCCAACAGACACAGAAGGATGCAGTTCCAAAGTCCAAAATACAAATTATACACCTGTGATGTGAAATTGTCACAATCCAATAGAATATTGAAAAATATAGAAACTAAATGAAGACAAAATACAGAAAAAGAAAGTTTCACATCAACCAAATGTTTTCAAAGGTTTTTGATATAGGCTTCTCATCAGCAGAAACGTTAATAAATGTTATGATTGGACTCCAGTCTTCAGAAAAAGTATTTATATTTTTATTCAGACCTTTGGTTATAACCTTTCAAGCCTTTCCAAAACTAAGCTATAAGGACTTGTATGACAACTAGCAAGAATCCTACCTGCTTTTTGTACAGTAGGTAAGAAGTGGCTCCTCAAAAATATTTAGCAGAACTACCTCTGAGGTTTGCTCAACTCACTTGCCAATTCTTTTTTATATTTCCTGAAAGGTAAGATTCCAAAACTTTGAAACCTTTGCAGTCCCACCACATGTGAGTGAATGAACCCAAGTGCCCACAGACTCCAGCAAGCAGTGCCATTAGTCCCATACATATATGAGATTTTAGAGGGAATGAGGTACCACTTTTGTAATATTTTTAGAGTTGTTTCCCCCTACTATGATGAGACTGATTTCTGTGGGAATTTATCAAACAAAGAGTTCCATTGTTCATCAACAGTCTTAAAATTCTCATCCAATTCCCTCACTATTTTGTGATGCATGTCCTCCCCGATCAGTGCAGAGTATAATCTGGAGACTAGATCTTTTTCCTGATCCTCCCCCTCAGTTAAGTGTTATTTGAACCATGTCACTTCAGTGTGGTGTAGTGGTTAAGAGCGGTAGTCTCGTAATCTGGGGAACCGGGTTCGCGTCTCCGCTCCTCCACATGCAGCTGCTGGGTGACCTTGGGCCAGTCACACATCTTTGAAGTCTCTCAGCCCCACTCACCTCACAGAGTGTTTGTTGTGGGGGAGGAAGGGAAAGGAGAATGTTAGCCGCTTTGAGACTCCTTAAAGGGAGTGAAAGGCGGGATATCAAATCCAAACTCCTATTCTTCTTCTTCTTCTTCTCTAGTACCTGGTGCTTTGATTTCTTGTCTCTGTATAAATGTGCTTATCGGGTACCACATTAACCACATTAGCCCAGAATGCTGAAACTGAAGTAACTAGATGTTTCTTTCTTCCTTAGACCTAAGGCACTATGTGCATGATCCAAATCTTGATCAATTGGGTAGTTAGGTGCCAAAGATATTCACCAGATTGCAAGAAACCCTTTCATGTCTTCTGCCTTGGCTCTCTTCTCCAGATTATGGACACACGGGTTACATCTGAGATTCCGGTTCTTCAGGTCTTCAAGTTCCAAGCTGGTTTTCTTTCTTATAACTTTTGTAATCCATCATGTATAGAAACCCATTCCATAAATCCTGTAGTAGCAGATTCCATCAATTCTATTCTTGTTTTCAAAATGTTTCCAGCAAGGTGGCCCTTAATTTCTTGATGAAAATCCTTGAATCGGTGTGCCATCTCCTCCTTCAAAGTTGTCGTTAAAGTTGCCAAGTTCATTATTAGCAAGTCCTCTTGCTCTTCTTGCTGCTGCTGTGGGTGGGCATTCCTGGGACACGTTCATGCCATTTTGGGTACCATAGTACTGGTATTGGGCCCAGTTTCACCGCTTGTCTTGCACCACAAAACAGCTACAAATGTTGTAGTCTCTGGGTCTGGGCACTCTTGAGAATATGCCCCATCCTGAAAACTAGCTTTAGTTTGCAGAGCTTGCTACGGAGCTCTCAGCCTACACAGCCATCTTGTCGGATAGCTCAATCAGTAGAGCATAAGACAGAATCTAAGGGTTGTGGGTTCAAGCCCCACAAGCCCCTCGTGGTCCCATCCAACTCTACAATTCTATGATTCTATTAATATCATAACTTGGTTCAGGAAGAAAGGCTCAAAATCCCCCCCACCTTGCAGCTGCTATTAGGTTCACTGGGAACAAAAGGCAGGCACCTGTATTGTGTCTGGTTCCTCCCATGTCCCAGCAAGGCTATTAACAGCTTGTGGGGGCAACCATGATTGAAAAAATAATGTGGTGGGAATGGTTGAGCATCCCTCTCCTGAGTCAATTCACACACACACACAAACCTGCCACAATATGGCTGTTTTTATGGGCTTAAAACACACACACACACACATCCTGAGTTCTGACACAGCTCTCATGCACATTGCACAGCATGTAGTTTGGTCCCTTGGCTCACCCATCACTCTCTCAGGAAAATTCTGGATGTACCTCCATGTCAGGATAAGGCTATGGAAATAACATACCCCTTTATTTACTCACTTATTTCCTGGCCCTGTCTACAATGCTGCCCAGTATCTAAAGAAAACAAGCCAGCTGGAACGTCAATATTAAATTGCAACTGGCGTGCTCTGCAGTTCCAGAACACCGCCTGCACAGAGTATAAAGAACGTCAACAGCAAATTTGTAACAATCCAGTCAAAACAAAAAAGGGCATCTGGACGTCGGGGAGACAAACCGGTAATTGCTTCTGCGGTCATCCAGTCCCTACCATTGACCCCAAAAAATGTGAACCTTAGGAGCGTTAATTGTTTTACACTTCACCTGTAGCTTTTTCTGGCCCAATACCCCCAGGTGCTGAACCACCCACAAGTCTTCAGACAAAGGCAAATAACGGAGCACCAGCCATGCAGAACAGATGAGAGAAGGAAAATAGAACCATTATGCTACAGTACATATTTGTCCCCTATTTTGTGTGCATCTAAAATGTATGGAATTACTGAGTGGGAAGGGAACCTATGGCTAACCATCAGCAGGCGGAAGTCTTTCTTCTGCATTTTAATCTGCAGCTTTAGGATCCTGCCAAATGGATATTAGGGCTTTTGCTGAGAGTTCATCAGTGTGAGACTTGTTATTTTAAGACTGCTCTCTTTATTTTCCACACTTGGGGAAAAAAAACCCTGCTTTCAATTAATCTTACTTTCGTTCTTTTTCTGTTGTTGTGTCTTTTTGTTCACGTAGTGTTAGACATTCTGGGTATTCTCCCAACCAAAATAACAAAAAAAAAAAAATATGGTTATTGCCAACTGCTTTATAAAGTCTTTCAATCAACAACTTGCATAATCCTAAGTAAAATTACCAGCATCTGAACCAGCTACCACAGTCCCCATACAGGATATCTTATGCATGAATTATTCCCAGTACTATTTTTCTTGAAAAAGAGGTGCTCACCATGAAGACCTCCCATGTTCTCTTATAATGTCAACCAATGGTGCCCACCTGAATGGTGCTGGAACTGAGTTCCGGTGAGTTCCAGCTGTAAAAAAGGCATGAGTATTCCATTTTTGTTTGAAAATGTCCAAGGAAAGGCAACAACTGAATTTCTTAAGACAGTGCTTGACTCTTTGGAGGAAGAATGTCTTTTCATCTAGATCTCTCAGTAGATTTATCTCTGCTATTTCTCCAAGAGGAAAGGAACAACTGTTCCTCTATCTTCCTTCCAAAGTATTTCATGCACACAATAAGATCCAAATGCATGTGCATATTCCGCCTGGGCCTTTCCAAATAATGTGCTTTTTGCTCATGGATTTCCCAGCAATTATTAATTTGCTAAGTGTGATCCAGATGACTTCCCCGTCCCCATGGAATACGTACTGCCAAGGTGAGTAAACTGCAGATTCTACCACTTCAAATCACTTAATCAACTTGCTAGAAACAAGTGGTTCTTTCTTCCCTTGAAAGCATCACCACCATTACAGTGGCAAGAGTTGTACAAAGAAGTTCATAGCACTTACTCTTCCTGCTCACAACAGTTCCATGGTAGAGTAGATTATTTGCATCTACAGGGTCACAGGTTAAATCTCTGGTACCTTAACTTGAAAGGGTCTCTCACAAAGCTAAATTAATAAGGGGATTTAATCCAAGTGTTTTGCACAGCAAACATGTAGACACACAAACCTTTAAGCAAGCATGTATTTATTCACTGTATTTATATACAGCACTAATGAACACAGTTCTCTGTATAGCTCACAACACAAAAATAATAAAATATAATAAACAACAAGTTATTATGAAATAACAGTTTTCTGCATAAAAAATTAAGAGAGAGAATAGAAGCAGAAAACAGTAATTTTAAAAAATAGACTGACTGGGGAACCTGTGAAACTTAACTGGCATGTTAAGTTTGGATGGGCCACCCCAGTTAAGTCTTGCCAACAGTTTGGGGCCAAGAGCAGTTTCCACACTATTTTCAAAGGCAGTTCCACCCAGTCAGTCTGACATCAATACCAGGGAAGATTCTGGAGCAGATCATTAAGCAAACAGTCTGTGAGCACCTAGAAAGGAATGCTGTGATCACCAATAGTCAGCATGGATTTCTGAAAAATAAGTCATGTCAGACTAACCTGATCTCGTTTTTGACAGAATTACAAGCCTGGTAGATGAAGGGAACGCAGTGGATGTAGCCTACCTTGATTTCAGCAAGGCATTTGACAAGGTGCCCCATGATATTCTTGTAAAGAAGCTGGTAAAATGCGGTCTTGACTATGCTACCACTCAGTGGATTTGTAACTGGCTGACTGACAGAACCCAAAGGGTGCTCATCAATGGTTCCTCTTCATCCTGGAGAAGAGTGACTAGTGGGGTGCCACAGGGTTCTGTCTTGAGCCCGGTCTTATTCAACATCTTTATCAACGACTTGGATGATGGACTCAAGGGCATCCTGATCAAATTTGCAGATGACACCAAACTGGGAGGGGTGGCTAACACCCCAGAGGACAGGATCACACTTCAAAACGACCTTGACAGATTAGAGAACTGGGCCAAAACAAACACGATGAATTTTAACAGGGAGAAATGTAAAGTATTGCACTTGGGCAAAAAAATGAGAGGCACAAATACAAGATGGGTGACACCTGGCTTGAGAGCAGTACATGTGAAAAGGATCTAGGAGTCTTGGTTGACCACAAACTTGACATGAGCCAACAGTGTGACGCGGCAGCTAAAAAGCCAATGCAATTCTGGGCTGCATCAATAGGAGTATAGCATCTAAATCAAGGGAAGTAATAGTGCCACTGTATTCTGCTCTGGTCAGACCTCACCTGGAGTACTGTGTCCAGTTCTGGGCACCACAGTTCAAGAAGGACACTGACAAACTGGAACGTGTCCAGAGGAGGGCAACCAAAATGGTCAAAGGCCTGAAAACGATGCCTTATGAGGAACGGCTAAGGGAGCTGGGCATGTTTAGCCTGGAGAAGAGGAGGTTAAGGGGTGATATGATAGCCATGTTCAAATATATAAAAGGATGTCACATAGAGGAGGGAGAAAGGTTGTTTTCTGCTGCTCCAGAGAAGCGGTCACGGAGCAATGGATCCAAACTACAAGAAAGAAGATTCCACCTAAACATTAGGAAGAACTTCCTGACAGTAAGAGCTGTTCGACAGTGGAATTTGCTGCCAAGGAGTGTGGTGGAGTCTCCTTCTTTGGAGGTCTTTAAGCAGAGGCTTGACAACCACATGTCAGGAGTGCTCTGACGGTGTTTCCTGCTTGGCAGGGGGTTGGACTCGATGGCCCTTGTGGTCTCTTCCAACTCTATGATTCTATGATTCCACGTACAACACATTGCAATACAGTGGTGCCCCGCAAGACGAACGCCTCGCAAGACGGAAAACCCGCTAGACGAAAGGGTTTTCCGTTTTGGAGGCGCTTCGCACAACGAATTTCCCTATGGGCTTGCTTCGCAAGACGAAAGCCCATAGGGAAATCTCCGGGGACCTCTTTTAAATGCTAGCGGTGGGGAGCAAAGCCTTCACCCCACCCTCCGGCCTTCAGAAGAGGTCCAGGAAGGCTGGCGGGGGCCGAAAGGCTTTGCTCCCCACCGCCAGCATTTTAAAAGCAGTCCGGGATAGCAGGGAAGCGCTTCCCGCTATCCCGGACGGCTTTTGAAGGCAGGAGAGGTCCGCGAAGCCTGGGCGCGCTGATCTCAGCGCGCGCAGGCTTCGGCATGCCGGCAACTCTCCGCAAGCAGCGGCAGCGCTGCCGCTGCTCGCGGAGAGGTCCGCGAAGCCTGGGCGCGCTGATCTCAGCGCGCGCAGGCTTCGGCATGCCGGCAACTCTCCGCAAGCAGCGGCAGCGCTGCCGCTGCTCGCGGAGAGGTCCGCGAGCCTGGGCGCGCTGATCTCAGCGCGCGCAGGCTTCGGCATGCCGGCAACTCTCCGCAAGCAGCGGCAGCGCTGCCGCTGCTCGCGGAGAGGTCCGCGAAGCCTGGGCGCGCTGATCTCAGCGCGCGCAGGCTTCGGCATGCCGGCAACTCTCCGCAAGCAGCGGCAGCGCTGCCGCTGCTCGCGGAGAGGTCCGCGAAGCCTGGGCGCGCTGATCTCAGCGCGCGCAGGCTTCGGCATGCCGGCAACTCTCCGCAAGCAGCGGCAGTGCTGCCGCTGCTTGCGGAGAGGTCCGCGAAGCCTTGGCTGGACAGCTTTTGAAGGCAGGTGGGGGGACAAAGACTTTCGCCCCGCCAACCTTCAGAAGAGGTCCAGGACCTCTTCTGAAGGCTGGCGGGGGCAAAGTCTTTGTCCCCCTGCCTGCCTTCCCAGGGGCTTTAAATTGCCCCGGACAGCGGAGAAGTCCTCCGCTGTCCCGGGGCAATTTTAAATGCCGCCCGCCAGCATTTTAAGATCGCCCGGACAGCGGAGAAGCCCTCCGCTGTCCCGGGTTTTTAAAATGCTGGGGTGGGTGGGAAGAAAGCCCTTGTCCCCCCCAGCCTTCAGAAGAGGTCCGGGGACAGTCTGTCCCCGGACCTGGTCTGAAGTCGGTTTCCCTAGGAACGCATTAATTGATTTTCAATGCATTCCTATGGGAAACCGTGCATCGCAAGACGAAAAACTCGCAAGAAGAAAAAACTTGCGGAACGAATTAATTTCGTCTTGCGAGGCACCACTGTAATCTAAACTGCAAGTTACCATTGGCCAGGATATCTACATCCAGATATGGCTGCAGCTGGTGTATCAGCCATAGCAGATAAAAATTAAGTACATCAAAACTGTGAACTTGATTCTTTAGAGGAAGTGCCATTTGCTCCAAAAGAGGCTGAACGTCATTTATCTGTATGCACACACGCACCTGCCTGTGTCAGAGTTTTCAGACATGCATGCATGGGTGTTCAAAGAAAATAGTATTTTTTTTTTCACACTACAGTCATTTGCTGTGAGAAACACTGCTGTACATGAAGTAACTGGATTTGCTGTGTAAATATGAAACCACATTAAAAGTTCCTGCTTTAAGTGTTTTGGCCAAAGAGTCAAAGGTGAAAAATAGTTGGCAAGCAACTAGCAGGTATTTTAATTTTATTAAAATTAATTGTAGCAAAATACATTAAGAAAATAGCATTAATCATATTCAGGTATGTGCAGTCTTTGCAATGACTTATGGAAATTCCTGCAGTGTAACTCTTAAACCAGAACCACAAAGTTTCTGACCAAAACCCTGGAAAAGTGTTGTGAAAGACTGAAACCTGCCTAAAAAATTGGACAGCTCTTGCTTATCAGAGTAGACAGTACTGAATTAAGGCAGTTCTTGCTTAGCATAAGGCCCTAGTTTATGCATATCTTCCTCTGCTCACAAACTTGGGCAGGGGGGTAGGGAATGCTAAATGTATTTATCCCATTTCTCCACAAGAGGGGGCTGCAGAATTCTTCTCTCTTCCTGCGGCCTATAAATCCCTTTCCCCTTCCCCCTCCTTTAACTGCTGCTTTATAGGCAATTACAACACAAGGCGTTAAGCCATTAATGTAACATATATCCGCCCACATATTGTCATCGCGTGGTCTCGGGCCTATTTCCAAGGGCCTACTCCAAGCATAACACTGCGTGTCACAGGCTTCTGAAAGAAAAGCCAAGTAGTTCAAAACATAAGACAACTTTAGTTCTAACAGAAAGAGAACCATCCTCAATATTGCATAGCCACCGACGAACAACAAGGGCATGATCCAATGAGGCCCTTATAGATACAAACACAAAGCCCAGAACATTCACACCAGGGCTTTTCTCAGAGTTTTTATACAACTCACACTAGTTCAGCAGAGTGTCTCACATTTTTACTGAAGTTAAAACTGCTCTGCCACTCCCCTATGCGTTTGGGAAACAGTTTTGTGTGTCAGGTCTCAAAAGGAAGGGTCTTCGAAGCTGAGCTGCACAAAGAAAGCTTGCCACACAATTAGGGTCCAGACAACAGGAGAGTTTAGAAACAGACAAGAATTAGCTATAAACAAAGAATAATTTTTTGATGTATTAAGGTGAATTTTGCAGTCTTGGAAATAAACAGGAGTAGCTGACTTAAAATCCCCACCTCCTAACTGTTGCAGTCCTTAAAAGTCTTCCCTGCCCTAGAGAACCTGGCAAAAAGCTTGTACGTACAAGCTTGTGGGTTTTAAAATCTCAAAGTTGCATTCATAATAGTTTTTAAATGCAAACTACTCTGCTTTCTAGGATATACAAGACAGAACAACTCACAAAGACTACCATTGGATTTCTGGCCCAATGGCTCCAGGTCCCTAGCAGCTGCAGGGATTCTCTGGCCTGATCCTGTTAAAAATGCAGACTGAGTCACATGACTATCTCTTGCTGATGGATTGTCCAGAACTAGACATGGTGTGAACTGATTTACTGTGAACCTCAATTAAGATTTTTCCAACAAACCTCCATCTTTATTCTATCACTGTTGATCAACTGTCAGAACTCTTCTCCAATCACTCCAAAATGTGGGCACTTTTTCGTTTTTGTTTTAAACAAAAACAGCAACAAAAACAGGTTCTGGGCAATCTCATGATTTTATAGCTGGTGGGAACTGGAGGTGGGAGATACTGATGTTATTAATTGTATGGTTTTTTCAAGCTTTTGGGACAGGTCTCTACCATTAATATCCAGGCATGCAATTAGCCATTTGCCTGATCATCCACCATTAAATTTGCCTCACAATACTTGGGAACTGTGCTGCATCACCTGCCATTTTTCTGCCATTTGTTCACAAGCACCTGCAGCATGAGGACTACAACCATGATTCTTCCTTCCATCCTTTAAAAAGTCACTTCTGCTAGGGCAACAATTACAGCCATTGCACAGTCCCCCAAGTACTGCCCTCTGTAAGCACACAAACACAGCAGGGCACTCAAGTGCGGGTCTTCCCCTTCCTTCATCCAAAATCATAACTTACAGCTCATTTCAGCAGATGGCGACTGGCTTAAGGTTGCCCAGTCAGTTTCATAGCCAGGCAAGGATTAGAATCCAGGTCAACCCATCCAAATCAATGATCTATCCACTAAAAAATACTGTCTCTTTTCACTTTTGTTGTTATCTATCTTAAGAATTCGAAACATAAACCAGTAATCTTGCTTCCTGCATTCAGGGGGGGGGGAATCTATCATTTAATAAAAGTTACAATTTTAAACTCTTTTTGCTTCTTTTGTTCAACGTTCATATTCAGGAGCATGGAAAACCTGGTTGCTGTTTGTTCCGATTCAGTAGTAAACAACAACTTTTCCCAGGGAAAGCAATGGTACAAAAGAAAACTGCTCAGATCTGGACCTGGACAGCACCGACTTGGGCCTGGATAGCTCAGTGCAAAAGGAAGTCTGGATGGTCCCTTCATGTAGACATATACACACACAGTTTGAATTTTGTAAAAATTCACCAAACACTTATGTTTCAAATGTCTTTTTTCTTTTAAAAAAACAAACAAACTATTGATGCAAAACAAGTATGAGGAAGAATTTACAATTTCCAAACTGAAAAAGATACACCCAGATGGTGGTGGTTGTTTAATTATTATTTATCTTATTACTATTGTAAATGAACTACAACTGGAAGATGGGTAGACCTCTGGATACCTCCACCTCCACCACCACCATATACAAACATCTGTTTATCTATGAGAATTACCTTAATGCTACCAAATAAAGTATCTCATCTCAAATGCTGTATAACCCACAGCCCTAAAAGTCTGAGGCTTTTGTCACAATAACAGAAGTTAGCACTTAGGAGAGCTCCTGGACCACCCAGCGCCATACAAACATTAGCTCCTTAATCGCTCATTAGGGGCCATCATCTAGAACATGGTTGTGGCTCATTGAATAAAGCCGTCCCTCTCGAACTTTGTGGAATTGCCTCTCTTTATCATGATCTCCCTCTGCCAGAAAGGGGGAGAGGGGGAGAGAGAGAAGCCATGTGTTGGAGGAGTGAAGAAGCTGTAAAGAAATCTCACCCGCTAATTCTGCTCCGCAAATTCACGGCAGTGAGAGTCAAGAAGTCGCGATTGGCCCAAGATATTTCAGTAAAAAGCCGAATAGCATCCCTCTCCTGCTAATTAATGCAGGACACACTTGTATGGGAAGCTCTCCTTCACAAGCCTCATTGAAATAAATTGGCTGTGATGCTTCATCATAAAGCTGCATGTTGTTCAATTTTTATTTGGATATATTACGTATTTTATTTTGTTTTATTTGTTTTAAAACCTGAATTGGGGCTGGTAAGAAGGCAATCGTCAAATAGCCATAAGCAGCAAGTGTCCAGTTCTCTGCCTGTCCTGAAAGACTAAAACTGGTCAACCAAATTACAACCCAAAATGTTATTCTAAATCCCATGCTGTCTAACAAATACTTTTTGCTGTTTAATTTAACAATAGCTGCTTATGAACCTTGGTGTTTAAATACTGAATCTCTCAAGTCCCTCTTGGGAGGGCTGCTTTTAGCTACTGAGCCTAAAGTGGCTCAGCCCCTCCCCTCTTCAACGTTAAAAAAGCTAAGCCAGAGCAGCCATGATGACACACAATCTCTGCAGAAATAAGCCACTTGCTGCCAGATGGCATGGAGACAGGCTAGTTAATAAATATTTCCCAAATTTGCTACCAAAGCAATGCTGGCAGACCTCATGGAAATAGCTTGCCCTCTAATGTTCTATAGAAGCCACTTGTTCTTCCCTTGATGCAAAACAAACCCTCCTATTTTCAGACAGGGTGGGGCAACCTTTTAAGACCACCAAGGGTTGCCAGTCACCAAATCTGGAAATAATTGCTCCTGGACATCTTCATTTATGGGGGGATAGCAACGTGTATGCATGGTACTTTCCCAGAGTCTTTAAGCAGCCCTTTTCCTCCCTGTGGGAATCTGAGCCTATGCCAAAGCAATTTTAAAGTAGCATCTATCTCTCTGTGTTGGAAAAAAGAAAAAGGGTTTACAGAATGCAGGCTACCAGAGGGATTTGCTTGCATAATATCTATTCCTGGTATGGCCTTGGCATCTTTCCAGTTTGACTGGCTCCTTGAAAGACCATCAAGGAAATTCCCCAGGAGGCAGCACGGTTTCAAAGCAGGATCCATGATACCAGAGGCATAATTGTCTTTACTTTTACTATTCTGAATACTGAAAGGGAGCTGTGCGGGGGGTTGCCCTTAATGATTGCTTGGAAGTATAAACTGACACTGATTCCAGCCTACTCACACAGTTATCAATTCCTGAAATGATGTAGTAATTATGCCCATTCTGGGGGACCCTGAACCTGGAAAACACACCAGTCTCAACTTCATACAGGAAACAGCTTTTTCATCTTCACACACACATTGCACACAGACTTTCTGGCATCGACCATCTGCAGCCTTTGCAACTCACATTGCAAGTGATGAAAAGAATGGATTAACCCAATTGCCGATCCTAGGCCTGCATGCTTAGCAATGGCAAGGGATGGTGGGAGATGTAGCCCAGCAATGCCTGGATGACTACACATTCCCTTCCCATCTTGGGTGTTTCAAATCTCAAAACTCACCCAAGAATAAAACACAAATGTATTTAATCTTTTACCTCCTGGCATGAAAAGAGAAAAGTGCTCAGTTCAATCAGCCATAGGGAATAATGTGAAAACATCACCAGAGCACCTCAGTTGTCCAAATCCCAGAAACTGAAAATTAAGTCCAGCCCCAGTGGTCAGGACCTCTCCTCTTCACCCTTGTAGCTAGGCTACCCTTGTACACCAAACACAAACAAATAGCCCTCCTGCCTCTGAACTGTATTACTGATGGCAAACCATATTTAACAGAGTTAAACAAAGAACAATAAAGAGTAGCCTTTCAAAAAAAAAAAGCCCACAAAAGTTACTAGCCTGTAAATAAATAATATTAGCCCACTTCTGCATACATAATATGTCAGCCAGTATGCTAGCCTGTTTTCTGGAGATTGCTTTTTCCAACACATGTGACCAGGAAGATGGTTATTACAAGTGTGTAATTAAAGAAGAAGTCTGTTAGGCTAACAAATAAAATAAGACCTTAAAAGAGCAATCCTAACTATAGGAAACCAGAATAGTTTAGGCCTGCATAAGTAACCTATTCCAAACGCCTTTCAGGAGTCTGTGAGTCGGGTTGCTGCCGACTGAGCCAGGATGTAAGTGTTGGAAAATTCCATTCCACCTTTAGTTGCAGACATGGAACTGCTGCATGTCACATGTCTGTTTACATACCAGCACAGCTTACTGGGAACTTCCATTGTATGTATAGCTTTTGTTTTTTCTCTTTCTCTCTGAGGAGAAGAAAGGGAGACGACATGTTTTTGTTGTCCTGATTTATGCTTAATAAATCTTTAGCTGTTAGTATGTTTCCACAAGCCTCACGCCTGTTCTGTTTGCGCAATATGCTCTGCTAATATAGCCTGCTCAGGCTTTTGAAGTCTGAGTCACTGATTTACATCGCGCCAGAGACTGGGGGATCGTCACGGCTGGGAGGGCATGATCCAGCTGGGGGCTAGCTAGCTGGCATCTCGACCCCAGAAGGATGCCGACATCAAGGTTATGGGCCCAGAACTGAGGCGTTTACACCGGAGTAAGGCTGCTGATGGCTGCTGCAGCGTTCCGGGGCTGAGAGAGGTATGTGGAGTGTATGTCAGCCACGTTGGCAGGAAGACTTTGAAGTCCATGCCAGGCAATTAGGCCAAGTGAAGCAGGCAGTCTGATTTACAAGCTGCCAGATAAAGAGGACTGTAATTGTTTTCCTGACTGAAGCAAAGAGGTCCCAAGTCGCAAGGTGGTTAGATTGGTCTCAACTAGGGCTGGGGCATTTTCAGTACTGGCCCCGACTTGGTGGAACGCTCTGTCACAAGAGACTAGGGCCCTGCGGGATTTGACATCTTTCCGCAAGGCCTGCAAGACAGAGTTGTTCCGCCTGGCCTTTGGTTTGGACTCAGTCTGGCCCTTATGTTTTCCTCCCCTTATGGTTTTGATCTATGGGCTACTATTAAAATGAGGCTGCATTTTAAATTGCATTTTATATTGGTTTTTTTCTTTTCTCCCCCCCCCCCCATTCTGTTTTTATTGTAATTTTACTGGTGTTAGCCACCCTGTGCCCTGCTCTGGCCAGGGAGGGCAGGGTATAAATAAAAAATTATTATTATTATTATTATTGGTCCTTAAGTGGTCTTTGTTGTTGTGCAAACAGGGGGAAAATGCATGCCACCATCCCCCAGCAAATAAGACTGATTTTCTGGGTAGTCCTATAAACTCCAGGATGATATCGGTCAAGAAAGATAAGGAAGTCGGATTACATAGCTAGATCACCCCATTTAATCAATGTAAATTGATTCCACCCTCCTGAGTATGGCACCATTAGCAAATGCTCCAAAGGAAGGTTCCTGCCCCATCCCTGACCACCTAACTTGCCACCTAACTATGGTCAATGCCATAATGGTCAAGGTCTGTCTGTGGAAGGTCAGTTTCCAACAGTCCAGAGAAAAGAGAATGGCAGGGGATGGTTATGATGACAAAGTGGTAAGATTTCCCATTCAGTGAGAACAAAAGTCAAATATTCTTGGGCAGGTGTCGCTGCTATGCTGTGCTGAAGAGGAGGAGGGACTGTTAACAGCCTTGGTTGATGAAGAAAGACGATGTTAATCACCATGGGTAGAAGAATGGGGGAGGAACTAATGTGCAAATACTGTACTTGAATCCATTAAAAGAAACCACAAATATATATACAGATGCTGGGCAGCTGATAAAGGGGGCAAAGACAGCTGCTGAGCTCACTCAACACAAAAGGAATGAAAGCAGGGAGGGGAAAATTTGTCAATTTTCAACATGGAACTTAGAACCATTACCTGCGTACTCCATCCGCACTTCAACAAACAAAGCAAGTAGGTACTGTTATCTGGAAACTTCTGCCACAAAAGGGGGATGAAAAGTCCCTCTTGGAAGGCTGTATTAAGCAACCTGTTAAAAGATCCAATGGGCAAACAGGGAACTCCCAGAAAGCCATGTCCAGTTACTAGTGGAAGCAGAAAGAATGTTTCTCTGTAGCCATCTCACACATGAATAAACACATGTATACATGCCATGTTTGGTTGCCTGAATTAGAGCAGTGCACAGGGTGTCTCTAAACTGGCATAACTGTTGCAACAGACAGAAACAAGTTATGTATATTCTTTTCTCTCCCCTACACATTCAACTTTTGACTGTGTACACCTGTAGCACAATTTTTTTTTCCAATCCACAATTGATCATGCTCATCCTCAACATGCTGCTTTCAATCAAGATTGATTCTAGGTCCTGTTATCTACAAGGGTGGGTGTTACTACCTGATATGCATTTGGCAACCCACCCCTCCCTGCACATGCTCAAGGTGAATAAAGAAGAAAGTGGCAACTGTGATCTTGGTATAGACCCTCCAACAACACTAATGAACAGTTGTGGAGACACCTGTTGTTTCCATCTATTTTCAAATGGAAACACTGTGCAGAATGCAGAATCGATCTGCAATGAGCTTTTATTTTTGGAGAGAAATCAGTTTCTCAGTAAGTGTTTTTCAGGGGCAAAAATATGCAAAAAACCTAGACTGCATGTAGACTAAGGGAGGGGAGTACTGTCTCCACTGATTCTAGAATGAGATGTATGTACACAGCCTTTGTCTGAATGGCCAAAAGTACTGATGTTAGAGAGTTACACACACGACCACCACCAATGCCAACCAGCTCTGGGATGTGTGGTATAGCCCAAAGATTCCCTCTAAGAATTATGCCTATTTACTGAAATTATTTGGATGGGTATTAGAGAAAGCATGTGTGTATGTGTCCATGCCTCTGGAGAGCTAAAAGACCTAGTCCCTGGGTGAACTCTGTCAGGCATAGCCAACATGGTGTCCTCCAGATGTTGCTGGATTACAACTCTCACCTTTCTTGACTTTTCGCTAGGCTGGCTGAGGCCAACGGGAGGTAACAGTTCAACAACTGGAGGGCCTACCCCAGACCAAGCCTATAGATGAACTAGATAAAAGGTTTCCCAAATTTGGGCCTCCAGCTGTTTTTGGACTACAACTCTCATCATCCCTAACTAGCAGGACCAGTGGTCAGGGATGATGGGAACTGTAGTCCAAAGACAGCTGAAGACCCAAGTTTGGGAAACGCAGAACTAGATGAATAGAGGACTGGAGAGTAATGCCCCAAGATTACTCTAAAGTAATGGTTGATCCAGAACTGTACGTAGTATTTCAAGGGTGTTCTCACCAACAATTAATTTCCTGCTACCGCAGAAAGGGTCCATTCATCTATGACCACCACCCCACACCTGCCAAACCTGATCTGCTGGATGATGGGATTCTAAAGGAGCAGAATTCTTAACAATCTTAAGAAAGTAGGGAGACCATAAAAGTACCCAGGGTTTGAGGACATAAAAGTCAGTAACAAAAAAATTTGCATCAAAGCTTTAAGGAGAACACTGTATGCTGCTATTTCTTGTGCAGGATGTAATCCCTTCCAAATTGAAATGGAAGAGAAAATTTAGAAATGAACTTTTTGTTTTTGTTTCTCCATTATTCAATTTGTTTTCCCATAAAAGTTTATGGAGCAGCAACAATTAGATGAGTCCAAGTTAAAAAGAACAACCAATACAAGGAAACAACTTTATCAGATTCCAAGGAACTATTGTCTCAGAGTGGTGGGGGGATGTGGAGTGGGAGCCTCATTAGTGTTTAATGAAAATGCAGGGAATTAAACATCTAATAGCACAGAAGCACCCGTAATTAGCTTGTACCCCAAATCCCCAAAACTATCAGTCTTTGGTGCAGGTTCAAAAATAAGACAGTCCCAGGGAAAAAGCAAGTAAGGCAAAACAGGCCAAAACATCTCACAGGAGGTCTAGCACCACAACACTTAATTCCACAGAAGCATATTAAGCCTTCCTGTACCTTGTCGCTGATTTTTACAGCGTGGGGGAGAGAGGAGCGAACCACAGTATCTATTAGTTGGCATGCTTTTTATAAGGCCACTGTGCCCCTGCTGTGCTACAACAACAGGCCCAAAGGTGCAATGCGTAATTAATGAAGAGAGAGTGCTTGATACATATTGATTCAAAGTGAGCTGCATCAGCCTGGGATTCCATCTCTGGTGACACAGAACCTAGAAGGCAGAAGCAGAAACTCCATGCCAGAACAGATTTAACAATTCTACTATGTAAGTGCGGGACCCATTCAAAACTGGGGCAGGTGAGCTAATATTGCATACCACAATGACAGGACTCAGTCATGAGACATATGAAGTAATACAAAAGTGTATCTGAGCACGTAAGAAGTTCCATCCCTGCCTCATTACTGTCTGACCACAATGAGGCCTTATATTCATAGGACTGGATACTATGGTTTCCAGGGCAAAAGGTTCAGGCAGGCTTGAACAGCAGCCACAACTCTCATTTTAGAAATGCAACTGCAATATCCTTCTACAATGTGGGCGAGGAGAGGGAGGCGAGACACCTGCAGCCCTCCATACATTGGGTATAGGGTGGTATATAATTTCAATCAATCAATCAGCTCCCATCAGCCCCAGCCAACATGGTCAGTGGTCAGAAACAATGGGAACTGGAGTCCAACAACATCTGAAGGACCAGAGTTTCCCCATCCCTGTTCAACAGGAAGACACAGAGAGTTGATTCACATTGCATCTATCTATATTTGTGCTCAAATACATGTATGTTTTTAAACTGCCCAATCAGTGCATGGGCTTAATGCAAGGGTGGATATTTGCAGATAAATAAATAAACCAATTTAAAGTTGATTAGGGCCCACCTGAGAATATTGCTTTCTAGACACAGCTCAGTGAACAGATTATTACGCTATGCGCAATGTGGAGAAGGGCCCTGTAGTATCCTTGAAACTTTCCTACTCATATTGAAATACAGCCCCTCAATGAGGCCAAACTTAGATTCACAAAATGTTTAGGGGTATGCATACCCCCGCGTACCCCAGAAAAAAGCACTGATTGCACCCCTCAATATAGAAAATGATCCGTTCTTGCTCCCTCACCTGAGCTTCTTGAAAGTCCTTATATAACATAACAATGAAATCTGCGCCATTTCCCCAAATGTAAGCAATTTTTTAAAAAAGGTTAGCCATGACAGCAGAAAGGGGAGAGGGGAACTGTAGAAGAAAATAATTTAAAACTAACAGGAAAACAATATGGAGACACTACATATTTCATACACAAACAAAAGCAAGGAATTTGGTATTGGATACAGAATTTAAGCTTTCGTTTGTAAAAAAATCTAAGGGTGTTGTTATGATCATTCTACCAGCACAAGTATTTCTACTTGCAACAGGGAATGATCTCCCTTCCCACTGCACACTATTCTGGGGGTCCTCCCAATCCCCACAACCAATCTGGGAGGCAGGGGCACATAGGGGGAGGAGAAGGGGAAGCCCCATTGTGCAAGCAGGCAGGACTCACTACACTGTCTCTCACTACAGTAATTATTTAGTTGAATCTGGCTCCACATTCCCAGCACTCATGAACACAGTCTTGAATGTATGCATGCCCATCACTTGAATACTACAACATCAAGTGAAGATGGTCTGAATGTGCTGACCAGTCATCACATCAGAGCAAGGGTTAACAGTGCAGTGCCTGTGAGGTCTTTGTGTGGCAGTCACAATGTCTCTCAGCCTCCCCATTAACTCACAGTCTCCTTGTACTGAGGGTGGTTACTACTTTCAGCTTTGAAAGCCACACAGAGATGAAGGAGAAAGTTGGAACAGTGAGACTCTCAAAGCTCAAATTAATTCTACTCAGATCCCATAGAAAAGTGACACGTGTGTGCTCTTTCTCTCCTTCTTTATATCTCTTTGTTTTGGGAGCTGATCCGGAGAGCAGAGAGAAAAGTGACCAGAGAGGGCAGTGCCCATAGCACTCATTCAAAAACCCAAATATGTCCCCAAGCTTAATAAGGTTGGTGACCCCTGAGACCCTACATATACATCACCTCAAGCACAAATCTGCTTTAAGAACATGGCTCACATTATCAGGTGAGACACTAAGTGAAGAGATTTCTCCAGGGTGCACAAATTAAGTTCCCCGGGTGCAAACTCTGAGTTTTTAATAGTGCAAGATAAAAACAAAATCCAGGATATAAAGTAGGCAACTGCAAAAATATCCCTGGGCACATGGATTCATTTCTGCATGTCCACCTTTGTGAGAGAATGCCAGCCAGCAGATGGCACTACGTGGCTTTAAACTTTGGGGAGCCCAGACGACAGCTGGGTGCACAGTCACCATCTGGCCTGAAGCAGCTCACTCCCATTTCCACAAAGGGGTTTTAAGTACCTTCCACACCACCAGCCCCCCCCCCAAATGTAGATTTCAAAGATGTACTGCAGTTCACAATCCCAGATACCTAAGATATGTGTTAGACAGGTTCACATTGGAAACGGCCTTGTACCAAGTCAGACCACTGGTCCATCAGGACCAATACTGTCTACACTGACTGGTAACAGTCTCCAGGGTTTCACAAAGGCGTCTTTTCCAGCCCAGTCTAGAATTGCCAGGGATTGAGCCTGGGACAAAGCATGTTCTCTGCCACTGAACTAAGGCCATTGCGCATGTAACACATAGTTACGTACTTCCAATTGCTGCAGCTTATTCTTGGGCAAATATCCAGAGGTGTGTGGAGAAATGCAAGTGTGAAACAAGCAGTACACACCTATTGCCCAAAGCCAGCAGCAATTTCCACTATAGCAGCAAGACATTGCCTGACTACAGGATCATCGGAATCACTGTCAGTTGCACCTGTGCACATTTCTGTTCACACTTCCATTTTTCCCTGTGAAACATGGGCGTAGCCGGGGGGGCAGCTGACCCCTTAAATCAAGTAAATCAATAAAAATACTTAACTGAGGTTCTGCCCCCATTGACATAAATCCTGGCTACACCCATGCTTTGAGGGGTGGGGAACCCATAGCCCTTGAGATGTTATTGGACGCCCTTGTAAAAAAAATAATAAAAAAAATAAAAAGGGGGCAGAAATGGGGTAGGTGTCCGGAAAAAAATACTTTGGCAATCTCACCTACCATTGAACCCAATGTGTTTTGACTACACACAGTTTGGGCTTTAAGCTCGATTCTCAGAATGTAACCCCTGTGTGGGCTTGCTGTACATTTTTTTATTCCCCCAGGCTTTATAGATGGTTCAACTTTTAAAGGTCTTGACGGTTCTGGAATTTCAAAAATTTATGATCTACTTTTGCTGTTAGTATATTTTATTAATTAATGTTATTCTCTACTGCCTAACATTTATGCTAGTTTTATATTTTTTATTGTTTTGGAGTATATTTTAACATTTTTTGATGTAAGCCACCCAGAGAACCAGTATGGTCGATTATGGGATGATGGGTCCAACAACATCTGGAGGATGTCATACTGGCTACCTCTCAAGGTATGTAAAAGCAAGAGAGCACCTCTGTGAACACTGCTATCTTCAAAGAGCAAACTTTTTTTATTTAAAAAAATGTCCCAAGGCACAAGCCACTGGCAAGTTCTTCTCCACAAGCCTGACTAAAATAGACAGGAACTGCAGAAGAACAACACCCTGGCTCTTGCACAGTTCTCATTCATTCCAGTGAGGCGCATGCCCCTAATCTTCATGTGTGGCA